TAGATAATGCTGACGTTATTGTGACTAATTATGTGAAACGTTTTAGAACAGGTTAGCTATAAGCTAAGCTAGCTTTACAGGCAAATACACGTCGATGTTATTTAGGTTTATTAGCTCATTTTATCAAGAAGAAAGTTATTAACTTAACGTTAACTAGCAGTGTTGCACGTTTGAAGGCATTGCATTTATGTAGACGTTATGTGACCGTTATGATATCAGCTGAGGTGTTATGACTTTAGGCTTTAAATAGACCTCCTGCACCAGTAGTTAATCCTGAAAATACTCGCTTAAACAATTAATAGTTCTTTATGTGACTGGCTACCAAACTTTCTCTAGTCCAGCATAAGCTGTGGCACCTATTAGACAGACTTCATTCCAGCTGCATTTTGACGTGAAATAGTAGGATAAACACAGTGTTACCAGTGGTATAGCAGGGTATACGCAAGTATATGAGTATAATATCCTCTCAGGTATTATTTTAGCCAGCATTGGGTATACCCACTGCTAAATCATCATTCAGTAGTGTTCTGCAAATGATTCTTTCCTAGGGTGGGCAAAGGCATGACATAGTTTTATAGTATATGTATGAGAAAGGAATAAGGAATAGTGCAAAATGATGTATTGTCACCCTATATCTGTGGGCAGTATTAAACAGTATTTGGTAAAATTGATGCCATTGGATTGACCAATACACAAGATAACATACAATGAAAAGTAGACATGTCACACAAGTCTCCATCGTTAAACCACAGGAACGGCAGTAAGCAAAACCAAGAGAACTAGATTAGGAAGAATAGGATACCAGGTTTTTGCCAAAGTTATTGGGAGCTGACCCTAAATCACCATATTAACTTTATCTCAGTACAGGAAAGCCAAGTATTGATCTACACCTCTTATGTGCTAATGTTCAATTTCTAAATGCTTACTCCCTAAAGGCAAGCAGCAGGAGTTAAATGACAATGTGCAAAACTACTGACCATCTTTGATGGGAGCTAAATATGCAAAGCTTCTTAATATCACTGTTGATAACAGGGCGTTTGTCATTTTGCTGGACGGACCACTTTAAATAACTAATTAAGGCAAATAAATGATTTTGGTATCTGTCCCAAACAGAGACAGGGTGCTGCTATTGTGCCATGTTGGCTACTGTAAAGGCTCTGCTACCTAAATGGAATGGAACCTTAATTTAGTATCATTGGTACACCTGGTGTTTACCCTGCTGTTCCATCAAAATGGCTGCTGTGAAAAGGTTATTACTGCTCACCGAGTAGGAAGCAAATATACTTCTAAAGACAGTGAAATAATAAGTTGGCTGCTGTGTAGATCACGTTTGCCTGATACATGCGCAGCCCAGCAATGTCAAATCTTGGCAAATGTTAAAAAGCTTACTTCGCAGTCGTCCTGCATATAGCACTGTTGTTCATGGTACATTCATTAACAGTGAAATGGCTTTATACAATTTTCCACTTTGACCTTTCATGCTGAACTCAGCGCTTGCTGCGGCCCCCTCTGTCAGCTGAGGCAATGGGCAGCCCTTCCTCTCCGCTCTGGATGAAGCTCACTGTCTCTGGCCTCTGTGCACACCACCTGCTGCTGGGAGGCCGAGCAGCCGCATCTGTAAAGGCAACTCGACAGGGGAAGGCCCTTTACCTAGCAGGGCCTCAGTTACCGCCTCTGAAGGTGGCACACCTGGCTCGCATTGTTAGCCTAATTTTAAATTGCCAGGCATCAATCAATCAATTCAGTGGTTACTAATTGTAATAGTAGTCTTTGGTTGTAATCAGAGAATAGGTTTCCAGCCATCAACTCTGGTTTAATGATCAGAGTGGCCTGGATTGGAGGGTCCCCTTTGAGGTCTTACCTTTAAACGTGAATATCGCAGTTCTCAGAAGCGCTGCCAGCACTCTCATCAGCCGGGTGGCTTTTACCTAAAGAGCGAAAGACAGTACGTGCCTTTTTCACATCTCTATATTGGAGTTGATTATGGTGTAAGTACATACATAAATGAATCTCTTTCATTCAGAGAAAATGTCCAGATTTCCAATCCAGCTCAGCCAACCACTTCTCATCTGAGACAACACAGAAGAAAAGACCATTCAAGGTTTGGTTCTGTGTGTCACTGAGGGTTGCGCAGTATACAGAACAACTAGAGACACGTTAGACAGCAAATCTCCATCAAATTATAGGATTTGTAGTTAGACATGTATTAAGACATATAATACTAAATATACTAATAGTCTGCTTGGAACAAAATGTGTGTCTGATTCCACCAAAATTAATTTCTAATTTTCAATTAAAATCCTTAAAAAAGTCATTTCTCCTTCTAGCTCATTTAAACTTCAGAATCTCTGAATATGCAAAGATGTCTCCTCCTTCACTGTAAAGTCCATTCTCAGTGGATGTACACTGGTGACGTCAAGTTTCTACATCACACTGTACAAGTTGATACTGGACCACTTTCAGCAGATGAATATGAAAACATCCTTCTAGAGTCAAACTGTGCACAGAGAGCATTCTAACAGCACACTGTAGAAGAAACACTGATTTCTGACTGGAGGGGCTTTAAAATGAAAAACACATCATTACACATTTCTGGCAACATGTTTGTTTTTATTGTTTTTACAGCTAAGGACTGTCAACATCAGCTGCTTGCCCAGTTGCACCAGTACATCCCAGTCCCCAAAGCCCACAGTGATCTGGGTTCCTGGGTCTTGCTATGTTCCACTTGATGACTACCAGCACAGGTGATTCACAGTCCCTCTGTGAGCCTAGAGTTAGATATGACAGTATGACATGACACAACATAACATTACATACCAGGAAGTATAGTAACAACATAATGGAAGAAACGCATGGCATGGTGTTAAATAACATGTGTAATGCAACTTAACATGTCATACACATGTTCACATGTCGTGCTATAAACACAATGAACAACATACAGTAAGACAGCATAACATGATAAGCAGAATCAAAGTCTATTCTCTGGTTTTTGCACTTCATCTTCTTTTAGATTGTATCTTTATGCTATCTCTTTTTTTATTATTATTAAAGCCATTGTTATTTTCATCCACTCACTGGCCTGCTGTACCCATTTGTTGTGTTTTTTACTGCAGTGTTAAGTCTCCTAGACTGGCTGTCAAGGAACTGGTTTTCCTCCCCTCTGCTGAAGTGTACACATCTGTTGAAAACAAGGTGAAAAGCCAGTTACCTTACAAGCAGACTGTGTAACTTGTGAAGTGAATTCTGCAGTTAAGTTGAACCATATAATGTGTTGTGTGGTTAGAAAAATCTCAAACAGGACAAGCCAAGGAAGAGGGTTCTTCTGAAGCAAATTCCTTTGAAATCTCAGCTGAACCAGGAAGGGAAGGGCTCACTGAAGTCAGAGTCAGATCCTGGTTTGTCCTGGCCAGGCTCAGTCAGTGACCGCCAGGTGAAGAAGGCCTCTGCCCCTCCTCAGGTCCACCGCCTTGTTCCCGTGGGACAAACTCTGGCTGCTGCCCCTGAGGCCAAAGGGGACCTGCAGCCGCCCAGTTCAGCCCAGACCCTCCCCCTCAGGAACAATCTGATGATCTTTGAGCCTGTCATGGAGAGGATGCAGAGGAGGCACGCCCAACAGGAGCCCCATACCTCCAAATATAAACTGGACCCGAAGGTTAGACATAGACAACACATTGCAAAATGTTATTTTACTATTAAAATCATTCTAATTCAGGTTCCGTTCCATTCATGTCTAACAGAGTCAGAGTGCTGCTATTATACATATTAGCTCACTGAAAAGGCTCTCCTTCACTAAATGGAATGGAACCATAATTTGATTGTTGATTTTTTTATTGGGATCTCTTTTAGTCCAACTTGGCTCTTCTTCC